TACCCATGCTGGGCAGCTCACAACTGCCTATAACTACAGTTCCAAGAGATTCAATATTCTCTTCTGTCTTCTGAGTACCAGCACTCACACCCACATACCCACATGCAAGCATACACACATACATACAATTAAAAATAACCCCCAAAATTTTTTTCAAAATAGAAATGAAAGTGTTCTTCCTTTGGGTTCTGAAGGCCTTTGATATGTCTCTAGTATTCTATTTTATTTCATATGGTGTTATATTGGACATGTCTGAATCCAATGAAAAAAATTCCCATGAGGCTTACTGATTTCATAATAGTGAAGCCCGATATTCTTTGGTCTGCTAAATAAATGAGTATTTGGAGGTATTTCATAGTGTTCTAGATGACAGGCTCTTTCAGTGAGTCTGATTTTACTTTGAAACATACTGAAATTTTGGCTTTTAGTAAAGATGTATCAACTCTATCCACTCTAAAAGGAACAATAGTCCTGCTTTCTCCCCCGCTTACAGAAAGAGGAAAAAAGGAAAAAAAAAAAAAAGACTAGAAAAGATGAAGCCAAGGGTGGAAGAAAGGAACACATGGAGGAAAGAGATTATGAATGCATCAAAGAAATTCAATATCAAAAACAACTGAAGAGGAGCCCACATTTCTGTTATACATTTGCTCCCGAGAACTGGCATGGGAACAAACAGTGTTTTTGGATACCTCCTAAACTTAGGCTATCCAGGCATTGGACTGCTTTTTAATAGCAAGTGACAATCATTTTTTTTTTTTTTTGAGAGAAAATTCAAGTTGAGATTTGAAAAATGTACACGTTGTATATGATGCACATAGTGTATATGTATATGTATATGTGTATATGTGTATGAGTGATGTTGGAGGTTAGAAGAGAACTTGAGGTGCTTGCTGGTCTTTGCCTTTCACCTCATTTGAAGTAGGTCTCCTCATCACAGCTGAGAACAGCATGCTACCTGGCCTAGAGTTTTCTGGGGATTCCTGTCTCCACCTCCTATTTTTCACCAAAGGGGCACTGGGATTACAGGTGTATGCTGCAGCGTTTGGCCTTTATTTGCATTCAAGATTGGAACTCTGAACCTCATGCTTATATGGCAAATGTTTTATCCACTGAGCTGGTCCACAAGTTGGGACATTCTAAACAACTCAAAGCAAAGTAAGTGAAACAATGATGTCAATGTTCTTTTGGTTCAAGAGTCTTTCAGAAGATACTGAATCAGAGTAGCTTGAAGGCCAATCAATGATTTAAATTATGTATCTGCATTTCACAGATACTCTCCCATGAGTTCCAATGATCTCAAATGAACATTTAGTTTTGAGAAACTATACAAAGAATATGAATGATGTTATGTAGTATGTAATATAGTGGCAAATATACAAAGAATTTTATTTCATATTTGTCCCTAACTACCACTGTGACTTCTCAGTCAAACATATATAGGTAAATGTGAATACTTACATAATTAGTTACACAAACTTTACTGCATTTCAGAAGCTCTATGTCAAGGATTAGTGCTTCACTATCACCTTTATAGTATCTTTTCTTTCCCAATCATTTTAGTTATGGAAACATAAAACACTTACTGTGCTGCTCCTTCCCTGAGAAGATTATCATTATTAAGCAATAACCGAACATCTGCAAAACAATATTATGTTTTATATATTATTCTGTTTAAATATTGCAAGGAGTACAACTTGTTTTTATCTAGATATTAACACCTCTACACACACAAGATCAAAATATTCTAATGACCAAACTATCCACAAATGCACACCACAGTAGTTTTTTTTTTTTTTTTTTTGGTTTTTCGAGACAGGGTTTCTCTGTGTAGCTTTGCGCCTTTTCCTGGAACTCACTTGGTAGTCCAGGCTGGCCTCGAACTCACAAAGATCCGCCTGGCTCTGCCTCCCGAGTGCTGGGATTAAAGGCGTGCGCCACCACCGCCCGGCCACAGTAGTTTTTTAAAAAAAAAAAAAAAAAAAGATTTTGGCTAGGTAACAGAAGAGGAAATTAAAAAAAAAAAAAAAAAAAAAAGCCAGTTCATACAGTTGCTTTAGGCAGATATACAGTATCTCCAAAGAACTAAAGATAAATTGCACCAGAAAATGGTCTGATATGATTTCCAGAAAATCCTTAGCATTATGTTTCTTAGTTTGACAACACAATTGCAGATTTCAAATGAGTGTGGTCTATAGAAAACATAATTAAACAGGTAAGTTTGTGAGCAAGGGGCAGCAATAAGCTTTCTGTCCTTCCAAACTCTTGCATGGACAGAAAAACACTCCCACTCTCATTAACTTTTGGTAAGTTTCATTTCCTTAAAAATAATACAATAAAGTTCTTAAGAGAAAGAATTAATACATCAAGCCTTAGTGTTACAAATTAAACACATCATGGGGGCTCAAAATGGTTCAGCTATAAAAGTACTTGCCATGGTAGCCTGACAACCCGAGCTGGATCCTCAGAACCATGGTGGAAGGAGAAAACCAACTCATGCAAAATTGTCCTTTGACCTCTACATACACACACAAATAATAATAGTAAGTTTTTAGATATTTTAAAGACTTACCATTAAAAACCTCATTAAATTCTCCAGGAGGGGCATGAATGATGAATTTTGCTGCTATACGTACCTAAGACAGAAATGAAGGCATAAATATCAGAGTATACATTCTGCTAAAATAACAGAAAAAACAAATCACTATTACATAAATTTCAAAGTTCTTTAGAGACTATAACATTTCTACACTCACACAAGTTTGTTGTTACTATTTTAGTTATTTAATATAATTGCACCATACAAGCTAAATGAAGGTAAAATATCTAACTTAATACAGTTTAAGTATTTAAAGCTGTCTACAGATAAGCATTTTCTCACAATTTTACTTCTTTTAAACCAAAGTAAAGAAACTTGAAGAAATCCATATGTGAATAAAGATAAAAGTTAGGTAGGTACACTGATGACAGGTGATTTACTCAAAACTAGGTACAGTGCAGGCAAACATTTCCAAAATACACAATACCCTGAATGCTGAAAAACTTCTGGTCCTAAACACTTAGAATTTTTATCTAGATATATAATTTTATCAGCAAACCTATACAAAGTACTCTTGCAATTTAACAGATGAAAACAACCAACAAAATCTAAGCAAAATATGTGAATGGATACTTCACCAAATAGGATAAGCACAAGATATATACATATATGAAAAAGCACGCTCAGTATTCTTCATCAGAATATGGATAAAGAAATCAGAAAATACTACAACATGGAAACAGAATGGCTAAGACAAAAAGATTGCTGGTGTGGGTTCAAGCCAACTGGAGCTCCTTACAATACTTATAAGAATGTAAAGCTATACAAACAATATGGAAAACATTTGGCACTTCTAATAGTGTTAGGCAAATACCTTAAAGCACAACAATATCATTCCAAATTATTTTACACACACACACACACACACACACACACACACACACACACACACACCCTTACATTCACACCAAAACTTACTCAAAATTGTTCACAACTGGAAATAATTTACAGCCCAAACATCCACTGGACAAATAAACTGTAGTACATCTATATAATGTAATTACTTAGCAATAAAAAGGAACTAGGATACATGAAACAACTTGAATTAATCCTAAAGTACTACACTGGATAGAAAAGAGAAGCTCAAAGGTTATTGATACTCATTTAAGACTTTATGCATACAACATTCAACCTTAGCACATATGCTCTTTAACCGACACTGGGATTGCACTTCCAGTAAGCACCCCCTACCCCCTTTTTGGTTTTTCAAGACAGGGTTTCTCTGTGTAGTTTGGGTGCCTGTCCTGGATCTTGCTCTGCAGACCAGGCTGGTCTTGAACTCACAAAGATCCTCCTGGCTCTGCCTCCTGAGTGCTGGGATTAAAGGTGTGTGCCACCGCTACCCGGCTGATAAGCCCATTTTAGATTAAAATATTTTTAATTATTTAATTAATCTTATCCAAACTGCACAGCTCGCCTATAGTGTTCAGTGTTCAGCTTAATATCTCTGTGGTTAATTGGGAGGTAGGGACCAGTCTCAGAAGCACATCATACCTATTCCTCCCTAGCCCAGGAAAAGACCTCGCTCGATTCACAATCTGAACTAGGGTTTTCACTGAGCACGTACTGCCTTTGCACCATCAAAGGTAAAAAACTGTGAATGGTTCCATCTCAAGCAGGGTTGTCTCTACAGCAAAGGAGACTGGGTAACAGTTGCCAGTTTGGGGATGGAGTGGGGAAGGGAATAACTGGAGAAAAATAAGGAAAAGGAAGAAAATGGAGGCATTTGAGTAGTACCAGATTGTGGTGGTGGGTTGATTACTTTCTACACTTTAAAAGTCTTCAAGGAAAAGAGTATACTTTTATTGTATGCCCATTTTGAAAATAAAATTGTTTCTTCACTTAAGAATATTACTAAAAGGCACATTATATAAGCAGGATGTGTCTGTGAAATTTCCTTCTAAATATTTATATGCATCCATCAGTACTGCTATCAGTTTTGGTCAGCTAAACTTTATTTTTGTTTTTTTGTGTGTTGTTTTTGCTGTGGGTGACTGTAACTGCAGAGATTCATAAATGTCCAAAGAGCTGAGAGTTACTATTGGATGCACTGCTCTAAATGGAACATCTGCATCACTCCCTCTAGGCTCAGAGAATAGTGAAGAAGGGACAGAAAGAAATAAGAGCCAGAGGTGGAGTGTTGTAGACCACTGTCCTCCAGGCATGCTTGGTCACTCGACTCTTGAAATCTCAAGTAGCTGTATTACCTGTCAAGAGCTACATAAAACTGGGTCCACAAACATTCCTTCATAGATGGAGAGAAGCTAATAAGGCCCCAGCCCTCCCTGAGTATCTATGGACTCATAATGGTTGCTGAGGGAGGAAGAGGCATTGTCTTCAGTGATGCAGCCACCAGTCAACTGTCCAAGCTCCTGTAAACTGTGTCTCCCTCACTCATGACCATGCAAGCAAAGGGATCCTTGGAAGGCAGTGAAGTGAGGTTTATATGCAGGCCAGGCAAGAGAATCATGCTCTAAGTGGGAGAAGCAGCTACGAAAAGCCTCTTGTAATTTCGAGATTCAACGATGGTACTAGACAAGGTAGAAACTACTTGATTACTGGTAGAGCTCCTCAGCCCTGTGGAACCCAATTAATTAAAATAACAGGGACAAGGTATATCCCCAGGAAGCTGAATGTGGAGGTAATGATCACCTTCATCTCTCTCTCTCTCTCTCTCTCTCTCTCTCTCTCTCTCTCTCTCTCTCTCTCTAGGCAGACAAATTTGGACAAAAAGGTGCTGCCTTGGTGTAGGAAGTGACTGTTTTCCCTG